CGCACCTTAGCTGATTCTGAGCTTCACATTTCGCAGGACCCGAGTGTGATTCCTGGTACTTGAAGTCTCAAAAAAAATTATTTACGAATAATTGAATACAAGAATTATTTCCAAAACCACTGACGATGGATATTTGGCAATACTTGAAACAGCTGCATGGTCAGCCAAAAATTCAATTAATTAAAATAATATAAAATGAATTTTTGTTGTTGTAGTTCATTACTGTTCAAAAAAACATCTTTATAAAATATTAATGAAAAAAATTGTATCTAAAATTGGTTTCTAGTTGTTAATTAAGAATTGACATATTTCTTAATTATTTCTTATGTGTAATATATTTTTTCACAAAATCAATGAATTCCAAAAACCAGTTTGAAACATCATATCAATAAGAAATCACACAATTTGCAGAAAATAATGTGCTAAGTCAATTTACAAATTAATTGAGCTATCTTTTCTCAAGAGTCATAAAGCCATGATGATGAGAATGATTAACTAATTTCGGCAAATAAGCCACAAATAGGAAACTTCATATTTGTATTGCAATTTGCCTTCATTTGTGTGCGTTGAGATAAATTAGCCAAAAATAAAAAAAAAGCAATGAAGTCAGCAAATATTAGCAGAAAACTGTGATTTAGTATTTGCTTTGTGATCATCATTAAATGCACACAAATTTGCTTTCTCATACTTCACTGCAAGAGCAAAAATTCTGCGTCATTTTTAGTATAAAATTCGCACTTCAGCGCAAAAATAAGTTCTATTAGGAAAAAAGAAATGGGATCTCGGAAAAAAAAATATAGCAGAACTTGGGTAAATTTGTTTTTGTCAGAAATGAAAAGTCGAGCAAAAAGTTAAAAAGACACTTTTTTCTGGTTTTGATTGGATTCCATAATGCATATAATTTAATTAAGATAAATTCAAACTCTTACACCAACACTCATATATATATATATACACTCATATAGGTAACCATTGAGAGAAGCTAAATGTTTGCACAAATGGTAAATATTCATGCACCATTTTGGTTTTCACCGGATTTCCGTCGAACAATCCAAAGCTGTTTGCATTGTTTATTACACGTTATTATGTGCAGATAAAAGTGATATTTGTTTGCACTTCATATACGTACTAACTTTGCTTAGATAAATATTCCGTGCTTAAATGCTAACGGATGCTCTTGGTATATTTGCGCAATTTAACCAAGCACGTGCACTACGACATACACTAAAGGCCCGCAAATTGGTTAATTAACCCGTGCGTGATATCATTTTACTGTCACTTCAAATTGATTACCTCAAATTTATTTCATTTTATATTATTTTATTTCACTTAAGTTAATTATTAAATAGCGTTTTGTGAACTCTGTAATACCAAGCCAAACACCCGAAGGGAATTAAAGGCTCATTATAGCTACAATTTATTGAACATTTTAACGATGTCCAAATTTTATTTAGTCACTAAAAAAACTTTTTTTTTTGCAATAATTAATGTTCTAATCAATAAAATAAATAAAAAATTTTTTAATCTAAGTCCATTGGACTAATAAAACTTTTTTTTGTGTTTTATTGAAGTGGTAATGGTAATGGTATTTGGGGTTTTCGGCCACTATGCACTGCGATCAGTTTGATCTATTGTGCACCCCTGTGTATTTAGATATTTAGGTCGTGTGCGAGTTAGGCTAAGTTGCGTTCTAAATGAGGGAAATTCTAAGTTGTGCCGATAATGTAGTGATAAATACGTATTCATAAATGGCTAAATGTATGCAGTGCAAAAAATCCCAAAAAATCTCGCATTTGGTTTAGCAGCAACTTTACCTAACTCGCACACGACCTTAGTATCTCGAGGAATCGAACCAGCTCCTTCGGAGGGAGTTTTCAAAGGGCTTCATCCTCTAGTTGGTATGCACCTAAAATTTTGTTTCTTCTTACTTCTTTATTGAAGTGAGAATGAATATGAACGGTATTTTTATTAAGCCATTAAATAAAATGGCACTTGTAGTCCAAAAAAAAATTCGTATATAATTATAAACTAATTAAAAATTCAATTATTTTCTAAGACTTAAGACTAAGACTTGTCAATACTCGAAACAGCGTTGTATGGTCAGCCAAAATTCAATAAAATTAAATTAATTTTTGTGTTTGTCCTTTCTTTCTTTCTTTGCTATTCGAAAACCCTCTAAATTTTAGATATAACTTCTTTGTTAAAATCAAAATACTTTAATTTATTTTTGGATTGCTATCGATAAATTTTTCTAAGTATTGAGCTCATAGGGCTTGCATATTAGTATCACTATACTTATATTAAGTTTTAGATTACTACCAATGTATTTTTCTAAGTACTCAAAATTTGTCCACCGCTTCATATCCTACAATCAATATATTTTAAGTTTTATTGTTACTAGAACGCAACATATATTTAGCTTCAGAAAGACCTATACTGAATTCTACTTCGGAGGATAATGCTTCTATGTTTCTAAACATTATTTCTAATGCATAACTGTTATCTATTAAATTATTTTTAAATAAATTGTTTGAAATAGAAAAAATTTTAATGAGAAAAATACATTTATTAAGTCATAATTTAGACATTTTTTTACCAATCTTCTTCTTATCAGTTATATTCAGTATGACGTTATAAAATAGTGCTTATTATTATTATAATAATTTTATTATAAAATCAAAAAGCTCATACTCTAGTTTATTTAGTATATTATATTAAAAAGAAATTCATTAAAATATATTTATTAATAATAATATTTTTATTTATAGAAGTTTAAATTTGAAATATAAGATCTTGACACAATAACCCTCTGAATAGAATTACTTAAAGGTTACTTTAAATAAACAACGAAAAAATGATCAAAATATATGAAAATACTCTTAGTAATAAAAAAAATAACTTTTGATTAGTGAAATAAATAAATAAAATTACTTAAAAGCCTACCGCAAAATTTAATTATCGTTACAGTTGATGGCTTGTTGTAGCTGTCAGTCAGATGAAATGCTTGCAATATTGCTGAATGCGCTTACAAGTTGCTCGATATCTTATCTTCCTCAGCTCAATACTTGTACGAATATACTCCATTTTAAATGAGTTCACCTAACAAATATTTACTGAATGCTCGCCTGTCGCTCTTATTTGTACTACTGTCAGTCAGATTTGCTATTTTTAAAGCCGTATGGTATGTATGTATGCATGAGTATGTATGTATGAGCGTAGATACCACTCTCAATTTATTTCGCTTTGTGGCTTCGTTTAACGTCGAATAGACAGTTGAAACATGGTAGCAGTAGAATTAGACTTTATGAAATCCATAAAAAGAAATCCATGGCGTATGTGTTTGGATGTATGAGAGACTTTGTGTGAATTGTTGTGGTTAAAATGATGTACGGGTAGGAGTATGTGTGGGAATAAATCTAAATATACTTATGTTTAAATATTTAATTTTCATGAAATAATATTAAAAGATACATGAAACATTATATAAACTGAGTTCATTATTGTGATTTCAATATAATTATTGTATATGGGGGATTAGAAGCAGATTTAAAAGGTTTAGTGTGTGAGTACACATTAGAGATAATTTTATTAAGATACGTATTTAATAAGTAAATCAAATTAAATTTTATAAATAAAGTAAATAAGAAAATTGTTAAACATAAATGAGATAATAGAAATTTAATATCTCAACAGTTTGATTTATTAAACGAATAAATTTTATATTTACTGAAGTTAAATTAATTTTAAGATACTTAGGGAATCAGAAATAAATTAGAAAGTTATTCAAGATTTGAATTGAATACCATTTTTATTAAAATTATCATAAAAATAGTTTTAGAATATTTTAGAAAGTGCTTTTTGGTATTGCAGTGGAATGATGACGTAGTAATCCATATCATAAGGTTACATAAAATGCTTCTTCGAGTATCTAATCCTCTACCCTTTCTTTTTCTAATTT